GTTCCAATGTTTCTTTATTTGTTTTACACAAATCTTTGTTTTAATCAACTGTTATCCGACAGTAAGGTGATTATGTGTTTTTCTGATTTATTTTTCAATTTAACTGAATTTATCATTATGATTTAGTTCACTGTTTTATAATGAAAAAATATAATGGGTATTTGTGCTTGAATGATAGACAAATATTTTAAGATTTATTTTAGTTTAAATAATTCAAAGCCTACACTGTTTACAGAAGTAGCCTATGGATGCTACATGTTAGCATGTGGATTCTGAAGCTGTTTTGCTATCTGAGCTGATTAAATAATTATCTGGCGTGCTTGTTTAGCTCACTGTTTACATTTTAACCATCCTCAGGTCAGCTGTTTTGGAGCCTGATTTATTTTTGGAACCGGAGCAACGTGTTAGTCTGAGACTGACGTTACTAGAGCCGTTGTCATTTGTTTTTCATTTTAAAAATGGTCATAGAAAAATGGATGCTCATTGTTTTTTTCCTTCATCTTAAAAACTAATATTGTAAAATGAACACCGGAAAATACCACAAAATCGGAAAAACAGTCCCATCTTTTTATTTTTGTTAAACCGAAATTTTCACACTGTTTGTCAAGACAACTCGATGCAGCTGTATTGAACAACATCAGATATGCATGCGATTTAGTACAACGTACCGAAACGGCCTGGGTCGAATTTGAAAAAATAAATAAATAAATAAATCGGATTTGTCACATTCAGATTGTCAGGAAAATCTGATTTGGGTCACCTTTGCCGGCAGTGTGAACGTAGCCTGTGGCACATTAGTCACACCTAATTCATTCCTTTTTTTGCTTCCCCTTTTTCCTCTATCAACCATCACACGGTTGACTTTTCTTCTTTTGCTGCATTCTCAAAGTCGAACAGCCGGGTACTTTGTCACRTGACCACGTTGTAGACGGAGGCTGACATATTGGTTTGGGGGAAAATAGGATGAGTTCCTATATGTGGAAAATAGGAAAAAATGGTGAAAAGTTGCTGTAGGACTGCACTTCTCATGTAAAAAAATCATCCAGAGATAAAATATTAATTTCTTTCTAACTGTAAGAGTGAGTGGAAAGAAATAAGACACGTCATTCTGCCTCTGCAGACCTCCGTGCTTCTYCTTGTTTAAAAAGAATTGCCTCATTGTTTTGATTTAAAACACACTAAAATTGGCTAAAATGAGGAGTAAACACTCAAAACTACACACTAACTRTAAAATCCAAACATGTTAAAAGTCACAGATCTAATTAATAAAGTCCTGCTCTCACCCGCTCTTCATTGCCGCCAATCTCCATTCAAATTTTGCTTCTTTTTATTTTCTTCTTCCTGTAGATTTTTAACTGCTTGTCAAATAACTTTGAGCCTCAGTCCAAAAGGAGGTCTGGGGGGTTATATTTTTTCGGTTTAAGAGAAAGATGAGACTGACGATGGACAGCGGTGCTTTTTCCACAAGATTACAGTGYTTCCTGCTCCCTTCAGCTGCAACGCGCKTCAAAATAGAACGTTCATTTTCAGGAATAAATTGTAAGATATGCCATTTATCGTAACTCTGGTATTCTTCTCTTGACCTATCGACACAATTTAAAAACTGCTGTATAGTTTGAAGTCTCTACTTCTGACACAGTTGGTAACGGAGTCTCACAAGTTCTCCCCCATAAAAAAAAATGGAGGTCGTAATCACATGACTGAATGACAACACGCCGACTTCGAGAATAAGCTTCGAGTAGAACGGGTGAACGTAATCTGAGTAGGAAATATTTTTTTAAACATTGTCTTTTTATTGAAGTTTTTCTCCTTTTMTACATATATGTAACATCTTGTAAACAGTAGGACATTTTTAAAAGACGCAGGACAATGTGAACATATCAGTTTAAACCACTCCTGCTTTTTTGTCACATCCAGTCGTTCAGCTTCTTGTTCCCGATGTCTCCGAAGTCGTTCCAGGAACTCTGCTTGTTCGTGTTCTGAATCAGAGATACAGTTGTCAACCTTAAATATTTAATGTTTAGATAAACRGAGTCAAAAAGAAAATCTGTTTTTTAACTCTTCTGCCACGGTTTATCTCATCCTCACCTCTTCACCTTTCTACCTCTGACCTCTTCATATATTACATTTTTGTTTTTATATTGGTGTCACCGGGCCGGCGGCTGCAAACACACACTTTACACAGCCTACACAAAGGAGCAAGTGACTGCTGGCCCCCTGATGAGCATAACCTTTGACCGCTGTCTTCCGTTCTTGGTGCTCGAGCTGCATGTTGAACAACAGTGGCAGCATTTTCACACATCCTTTATAGTTGTCAAGGCATGTCCTCAGCGACCGCAAAGAAATGTATGTGTGTTTATTTTGGCCACGTTAATTCAGGTAAATCGTTCTKTAACAGACTGAAAAACTAGATGTTTTGCAGGTTAGTTGAGCAGGAAGGAAGTTAAACTTTTTTTCTTTGTTTATGTTTCATCTCCATGAGTTCTGTTCTATTTTAAAAWGCAAGCTTTTATCTTCGGAAGTCAGGGTCTTTGATATGAATAAATACTATCTTACTTGTCGTTGATGAAACAGCCTCAGTTTGGAGAAATTGTATAATTCTAACTAGACTGATAGGTTAAAGGCTAATCTGCAGACTGCTGGTTTTAAATGGATCACCAATTAGTTGTAACATTGGACTTTATTTGATAAACATATATTTTAACTGTAAAATAAAGACTGTAAAAATGCTGTAGGATGTATAATTTTTAAACTAAAAGTTTAAAATATATTTTAA